TCTACCCAGATCACTCTGGTTTTGTTTGGTTTGGATCCAGGCGTCACTGTATTGTTTTTGCTTTATACATGGAAACACATCTCTTGCCTAAGTAGAATTCAGTTTCATCTAGGGCATAAACGCCTTGAATTGAAAGAAGAGCTCTGTGCTCTCTTTGGTTCCGGAGCCCTCGCTTGTAGCTAGCGAAAGTGGCCTTGCACCACAGCCTTCCAGACATATTTGCTGCTTACAAGTCCTGTTCCCAGCAGGCCTCACAGGCACCAGATGGCCGAAAGAGGAAGGCAAGGCTGACCCCTTATCTATTAATGGAGGACACGGAGGAGTATTCAGGTTTGTCCCAATCTGGCGACGTGTCTGTGTATCCCCAGTTGCCCCTAACTTTTTCCGCAGTCATAATTGTAATTGAGAGGGTTTCCTGGAGGAACAGAACAAACGGGATGGGAAAAAAAAGTGAATTTATGAAGTCAGCTTTAAAATAATAACAGCAGCAGAATTATGCTGGCGAGCTGAGAAGCTGGTAGTTCCTCAGTCCGTAAGGCTGGGGCCTCAGCAGCTGGAGGGGCCTCAGCAGCTGGAGCAGCCCCGCAGCAGCCTCATGGGTGTGAGGGGAGGACAACCAGCAGCTGCTCAGTCTATAAGGCTGGGTGCCTCAGTGGTCCCCAAACTGGTGCTGGAAACACAAAAGATTTCTGGAGAACCGCTGGTCCCTACTCCACTATGAGAGCTTGTGAGCGCCGGTTCTGATACCAGAGAAGGACTCAGCAGCAACCACAGGGCAAATCTACCCAGCGCAGCAGGGGAGGCCAAGGAGCGAGAGGCGAGATGCTCTCGTTCCTTTTATCCAAGACGCTACTCAGTGGTGCTTCATACCCTTGAGCTCTTGTCTTCCCATCAGTCAAGGCAATGTGGACACTTTTTTTTGAGACAAGGTTTCTCTGTAGACCAGGCTGGCCTCAAACTCACAGAGATCCGCCTGCCTCTGCCTCCCTGGGTGGTGGGATTACAGGCATTCACCACAGCACCCTGCTAATCTGGACGCTTTTGAAGGCAGGGCTTCCTAGTCAGGCGATTGTAATGTGTGGCAAAGTGACATTAAAACCAACCATAATAATATGGTTTCACACCACATACCCTATTGAGGACTTTACACGGATTGTATGTTAACTCTCTTAACCCAGGGACTTTTTTCTTTATTCATCTGTGTTTTCCTGATGAGGAACTAGGCACAGATGGGGCAAGTAATGAGCCTGGCAGTGCATAGCTGTTAGTTGGGGCTACTCTCCACTCTAGCTTTCATGGCCAAGTCTAGAAGCTTTCTGAGCACCGCTGCCCTCTACTGTAGGCATTTAACAGTCTTCAAGGCCCCAAAGTCCTCCAGACTGTGTCTGTTGCGTTGTTGAACTCCTGGGTGCTAGTTAAGCATACACTTAGTTGGGAAGTTTGAAGACGCCCCTCATGCCTGGTGTCAGCCTCAGAGCCTGTGCTGGCTCTGCCTCTTGGCCTTCAGGCAAGGGTTCAGACCACGGGGCAGAGTTCTATCTCCTTCATTTTTCCTCCCTCCCCCCCGCCCCCCCGGCGGCAGTCCTCATTCTGTTACCGGGCACTAGGGGGTGCTGTCGGCTAGTCTAAGAAGCGGCGTTTCTCCTAGACCCGCTTGGACGGTTTTTGTTTTCGAATCTGTCATTGATGGTTCTCCTCAAGAACTCAGTGGAGGGCCTGGCCGCAGAGACGGACAGCGACCTGAGGCCTAAGCCAGACTTTCCTGCCCCCTCCCCTTTTATGTTAGTCAGTGCTGTTGAAACAGGAAGGCACAGTTTTTGGAGAGCCTGAACTTCCTCCTCCTGTGCGTCTGAGTGCCCAAGTGGGTGTGTTCGGGTATCCAACGCCATCTTTTCTTACTGTCTTGAGATAGGGTTGTTCGCTGTGCCTGAAGCTAGGCTGGCAGCCATGATGCCGCACAGAGCCTCTGGTCTCTAACCCCCCCCCCCCCCCCGTACTTGGGCTCTAGGTACGTACATACAGGCACACCATTCAGGTTTTGTTTTGTTTAACACGCGTGCTGAGGATTTGAACTCGAGCCCTCACGCTTGTGCCCAGCAGGCACCTTTACTCAGTGAGCCATCTCATCTCCTGGCCCCTGCGCTCTCTTTCCCATCATCTCCCACCAGCCTTTAGTCGTCGCCCTGGAGGAAGGTGTTCAAAAGCGACCGTAAAAGACAAGGTATGCTAGGTAAAATACTGGGTCCACACGGGGGTGACCCTAGTCCCTGGAACGTGAGAATATGGGACCTTAAATTGCACAAGGGACTCTGTAGGTATGACTAAGGGTCTATGACACCTGGATGAGAGGGGTAGGCTAGGGGAAGACAGGTGAGCTTGGAGGCAGGGTGACCGTGGCATGTGAAGATGTTGTGCCGCTGGCCGGCAAGAGGGAGGCCACGAATGATGGAATGAAGAACATGGCTTCAGGGAGAGGGAAACTGATTTCCTCCCAGCCTTTTCAGAGAAGCTAATGTCTTGAGTTAGCCCAAGGAAGCTAATTTCAGACTTAGAACCTCTTGAGCAGTGAGATTATATGTTCATGATATTAGGTGTCTTACCACTGACTTTATGGTAATTTGTTCTAGCAGCCCCGGGGCAAACTGACACATGAGGGGTACCTGAAACTGTCTGCCTGAGGTAGCCTTCGGTGCTGGTCTATCTTAAGGCCATCCAAACGAGGTCGCCTCATTTGCTCTTCCCCCAAGTACCCTCATTACGAAGCTACCTTTGTATACTGGATGGCCCAAGGAGTCCTAAGTCAGTGGGAAAAGAGTCTCCCTGCTTGGAGAATAAAAAGACACAATGGGAGCTTCTCTCTCTACCTTGATTCTCCTCCTGCTCCAGACCCCCTAAACTACACTAGACCTACATTTGGAGAAGGTGATGTCTAGTGGTTCACAGATCATGGCACTGTGAGTCCAGTTTCAGCCATCCCTTGGACTTGAAACCACTCTTGGGTCAACTCCATATGGATTGTAACCTTAATGTCTCGCTTCACCTTCAAAAACATGTTCCCACTTACACAGTTTCCTCCACAGAACCACAATAAAACAACAAATATTTACTGAACGCCCCAGGCTCCGGGCTGAGCATGGAGATGAAGACAGAATTAAGCCACCCTGTGCTGGAGGCATCATGGTCTGTGTTAATTGGATCTTTGTGGGTCGTACGTGCCAGAAATCCATCTATGCTGTGGTGCTGTAAGAACTGAGACAGGAAACAAATTTAAGGTACCTCGCATGGTTCTTACTAAATGCATTGCAATTACCAGGGAGACATGCAAATGTAAGACTTTCACGTGTTTTTCATCTTCACAAGGAACCTGAAACGAACAAGACCTCGATGCTTAGATTCTGTCCGTAAGTTAGCAGGAAGAGCCTGAGAGTGGGAGTTATTTTCTTGGTGGCATCAAAAATCCTTGGCAGGTGGCGACTAGGCCTTAGAAAGGTTTCCCGTATCGGCTGTGGCCCTTTCCCCTCTTTACTGGGGCATAGACCGTGGGACAGCCAAACAGCTAAGAACCCTCGGAGACACCCGACTCTGAAACAGCCTTAGGCTTTGCTGGCATCCTGGTGGCTTTGCTGGCGTTCTGGTCTTGAGGACAATTGCCTGTGCCTTTCTCTTGAGATGGTGTTGTGACTGGTCCACATTGTCTGCGTGGCTTCCGGATGATGTGTCTTCTTCTGCAACACATGTGTCTCCTCCTTGCTATATACTCTCATGCAGCCAATATGGAAACTGAATTTCTGAGTACAGAACTAACTGATGCCACACACTGAACCAGATACATGACTGGGATAATGATGACTGGGATAATTTTTTTTTTCTTATTTACAGACTACCTCCCAAGACCAAAGGTTGTATTAGATATTTTAACCTCAATTTCTTTTATTTTTTAACATTAATTATTTGGCCAATTAATTAATTAATTACTGTGTGTGTGTGTGTGTGTGTGTGTGTGTGTGTACGTGTGCACACATTGACTGTGGCATTCACGTAGAAGTCAAAGGACCACTTGCGGGAATTAATTGTCTCCTTCCACGTGTGGATCCTGGCAGCAAGCACCCTTGCCAGCTGGACCATCTTGCTGGCTCTCAGCTTCTCTTTCTTATCTCAGTAGGCTTTTCATTGCCGAACTGGACTCCTAGAGGCAACCTAGAACACCAAGAATGTAGTTTCTGGGCTCAGCCGGGTGTTTGGTGATTACGGACAAATCTTGCCTTAGACTCCTTACCCTAGCTCAACAAAACTGAACAGCTGAAGCACTGTGAAGGCCCTTACCTAAAAACTGTCAAAGAATGTCAAACCAGACAGTGGAAATATGAGCAACACGCTGGCAGAGAATGCCCTGAGACCTGGGCAGGCAGCCTGTGATGGTAAAGGGGGGTCTCGGTACATGGCTGTAAGGGAAGAAGGGCTAGACTTGGATTTTTCTGGAAACAGAACAAAGGAAGCAGGCATGTTAGCTATGGAGCTGCAGAGCCGAGGCTCCTTCATGCACATGGTCTGGCATTTGAAAGAGCCCCACTCCTCGCAGGTGTTTGGTCCTTCATGAATGTGTGTAGGCTGTCCTCAGGCTCCCAAGGCGTAAGCTGACGCACTGGGTGCTTTGGATTCGTTGGAGGTTCAGTGACTCAGGCGGACACAGGGCATTGTAAATTGCTTTGTAAATTGCAAGTGAAGAGTGCAGCAGTAGGCCTCTACTTGTCTTAGCAATGGCACGAATCATTTTTGCACTCTTCAGCATGAGGCTGGTGTGTGCAGAAGAAGGCTGTGGGAAAGGGGTCTGTGGTGATTCTGCTTCGAGTCAATACAATGCCAGGATCACTGGAAAACACACTGACTTTTCCAGCAGCAGTATTACCAACCACAACTGCAGAACCAGAGTGAAAGAAAAGAGAATTTAATAGCTTAGTAGAAACATCACCCTAAAACCAAATCGTTCTTTTCCTCCCAGTGCATGGCATCATTAAGAATCTACAGATCCTTTCATGTATATCATCTGGTTGACGGTCCAGAAGCAGAAGGGGTCTGCCTTTTCCTCTTCTAGAGGAGAAGAAACGTGGTCCAGGGAGGCTAAGGGGTTGGTGGGCAGCCAGGTGGCGAACCACAGGAGGAGCTGGGACTTGAACCCAGTAGGGTTTCTATCTGCAGGGCCACTAACCTTCGGTGAACTTGGTTTCCTGGAATGAGGAGGGAGGAATCAGGGTCAGGGTGGAGGGAGAGAGGAGAGGGGCTGGGCTGGAGTACCTAGAGCTGGGGATCGTGGGGTGGGCTTGCGTTGGCGGGGGCTGCGAAAGCAGGAGTCTCAGGCAGGAGGCAGCATGGACAAGCAACCGGCTTAGCTGCTGCTGCTCATGGTGTCCAGAGTTCTCCTCCTAGACAGACGGGGTGCTGCTGGCTTTCCATGTGTAGTCTCATTTAATTTGTAATGGGTGCTATTAGTTTCAGGATGTGGACCCCAAGTCAGATTAGAGAGGTTATGCATAAAACTGGCCCAAAGTCAGACGTTTTAGGGGCGAGGCCCCAATTAGAAACCTGGTGGTCAGAAACAACCTGTAGGTATGACCGCTATGTTGCCTGACAGTTGTGGGTTCACTGATGTGTGGAGAAAGAAATATATGATGGTCAGCTGATACCTCTCAGGGAGGCTCTCAAATGGCAGATTGAGGAGGCCTGGGCATGGTCCATTGGGCCATAAAAGGCACTCCCTCCTCTCTCCCAGAATGACCCTGCTTTCAGGGAATGCCTGCGTGGCCATTGCTGTGTGGCTGGCATAGCTCTTGCAACTGCCTCACCCTCTCTGGAGGGTGTGCATTACGGCCCCCGCCCGCCCTTCCATTTTCTTTTGAAAATAAATTAAAAGTTATTTAAGAGTCTCTTCTTGGCCTTGTAAATTCCAGAGTCACTCTTGCCTGGAGCTTGGCGAGGGGCCTGTGAAGATGCCAAGGGACAGGCTTTGGCCAAAAGCTCCTGCCAGGCTGTCCCTGGGGGAATGTTCTCCTCAGCCTTGCTGCCTGACTGCACAGGCCCCCGAATAGACCATGTGGGCTGTAGACACTCCTGTGGAGGCCTTTCGGGAGAAAAGCACATTGCTGAATGGAAATCTCGAGCCCCTCAGTCAGGCTGACGTGGGAACAGCTTCGCTGTGTCCAGGCAGGCAGTCATCATTGACGCCACAGGGCCTGCCTGGATCCCTCATGCACTGGAGCAGAGGCCGTGTTGGGATCTGGATGTTTGCCTGGCCTTTGGCTAAGCAGTGGATGTGCTATGATGGATCCAGGGTGGCCGGGTTATTCCTCAGTGTCCCTTAGATACCCTGGCACGTATCTGCTGCCGCTCTGTTCTTTATAAGGGTTGTTCCTATCTGTGAGCTCGTTAAATTCTCGCATAAGAATCCTGGGAAATACAAGTTATTTTCCGAAATTGAACCACGAGCCTCAGGGAACATCTCTTAAGGGCTTGGGTCAATTCTCACCCTATCAAACCTGTTTCTTCCCCTGGAAACAAGTATCTGGGTGAAACTAGATTTTTAAAGACCAAGTAGTTGACCCTAGTAGAAAGCTCATGGGTTCCACTGATCCTGGCTTCTCTAGGGTAGCAACAGTTGCACGTGTGGAAGGAAGAGACGTTGAATGGAAGCATTCTCTCAGTCCGGAGACCAGGGTTGGCCGAGTTCTAGGCAGTGGCTCAGCTGCTGTGTCTGTTGCTCCCTCCCTTGGTGGCTTCTGACACTCTGCTCCTTCTTTAACAATGGGCCCTTTCTCACAGATCCGGGCACAATCCCTGCCCCCCTGCTTTCTGCTGTGAGCTCGCACAGTTCACCATGCTATTCTGGAGGTCCCCTGTCTCACACGTGAGCGTGTCTCACGTGAGCCTGTCTCACACACTCGCTGAGTGTGAAGGTCTGGTGGTGATCTGGGGGTGGGGTGGGGATGAGCCCGGCCTCTCTTGGCACTAGCTGACAGACTGGAATCACCGTTCCTGCTAACCTTTTCCTAACTCCTGTCCAGTAAGGACTTTGTCCGAGTAAAATCTCCAGACCCCGTAGGGTCTGTTTTTAGGGTTCTCAATCTGGAGCAACTGACTCTGGGCAACTTAGAATCCATCCCGGTGCAAGCCTGGTCCACTCTGTGTCTCTTGTTTGCAGCGGGCAGAGAGGGTGCTTGAGTTCTCGCCTCTGGTCCAGCAGATTTTGTCTGGTTCTGTACAGATTTAATTGGGCTTGTGAAGTTATGTGAAAGAGATGACGTTCGCAAACACCGTTGTATCCAGGTGTGGGGGTGCACTCCTATGATCGCAGCACTCGGGAGGCAGAGGCAGGCGGATCTCTGTGAGTTTGAGGCCAGCCTGGTCTACAGAGGGAGTCCAGGACAGCCAAAGCTACACAGAGAAACCCTGTCTCGAAAAATCAAAACAGTAAAACCAAACCAAACCCTACAAACACCATTGTAATACATAAGCAACAATGATCACTACAAATCCCAGCCAAAGCAGAAACAAAGGGACCATTCAGGTTGGGCTTGAACTCGTGGTTCTTTTGTCTTAGCTTCCCAAGTGTTGGGATTGTAGACATATACCACCTCTTCTGGCTGCTTTACTGAATTCCATTCTTTGTGATTAAAGAAACAAGTCAGGCAAAGCAGACTTGTTTCGAGAGAGAGGCTGGACCCAGGGTGAGGAAAGACATTGTGATCTGGCATTCTCTCTCTCTCCTTTTTTTCTTTTTGAGACAAGGTTTCTCTGTGTTAACAGCCTTGGCTCTATACTAGAATTCACTTTGTAGACCAGGCTGGCCTCAAACTCACAGAGATCTGTCTGCCTCTGTCTCCCTAGTGCTGGGATTAATGGTGTGCACCGCCATGCTTGGCCCAGCACTCATTCTCTCTACAGTCCCCAGCCTCTCAGTACCCAGGCTCTGAGCATTAACAAGGACCTACTTACTGTGTTGGATTATAGATCCATTGGCCAGGGCTGGCCTCTAGTCAAATCCACTCAGCTCTTTGCTCTTAGATCCTTCTGGATCAGCCTGTGTCTTGCCCCACAGATGGTCTAGCTGGAGAGAGCAGTGGATGTGGCTCTTGGCCATGGATCCACAGCCCTTCTTGGGTTAGGAATATACTGTTTTTCTTTCAACTACGTTGTGGGTTTGTTAAGTTTCTTCATTCCTCTGTGCTGTCTCCTGAGTGAGGTTAGAGCTGAATAAGTCTCAAAAGATGAGAAACAGACCACCATTGAACCCCGGGGCAATGTCAGCAATCATGGGAATGGCCAAGAGCTCATGAAAAATCTCGCTTCAAAGAAGAACCCTTCCTTCGGGCGTACGATGTAGCATGTGAGGCCTGAGTGACTTCTTCAGCCTTTGCTCCATTCCCTTAGGCTGGCGGTGGTCAGAGCACACGTAAGCTAGGACAGTCCAACAAGACAAGCCCTTTCGGTACCAGGCCCTCCCTTCTAAAAGCTTTGTATCCAACCCCTGTTCTTCTGCCTTTCTTGCCTCCGCCTCTGTCTCCTAACTGGAGATGGTGGCAAGGCCATGGGTGCAGGATTCATGGGGGCCTTGTCATCCTCTGCAGGCTGCCCACTGACAGCCTGGCTCCCAAGTGAGTTCACACTTGGGGAATGTTAATAAATGCCCAGCCTCCTGGCTACCTCCACATTCTCTATTTCTGTGCCAATGTCCTCTCAAGGCAATCCACTTCCCATTCGTCATTCCCTGTGCTGGACTGCTCTTGACTTTTCATTAAAGTCTCCCCCGAGAAGTATTTGGGAGGCTCAGTGAGTGCTTCCTTCAGCTGTCTGTCCAATGTGCCTGAACGCTCATGTGGTTTTGTTTAAAGAGTGTTCCCTGGGTCAGAAATGTCTTCTTTCATGGGGATGGTTGAAAAAAAATTGTGAGAGGAGAGATCAGAGGGAGGCTTGTGGGAGATGGTTCTCTCCTTCCACCATTTGGGTGCTGGGGATTAAATTCAGGTCAACAGGTTTGTTGGCAAGCAAGCTCACCTGCTGAGTCATCTCACCAACCTGGGCGCATTTTTTCCCCCTTCTTAAAACTTCTATGGATTTTCCTCTCGTATTGTCCTATAGCCTGATTTCTTCTGTCTTGCTTAAGTGGCTACCGATGATTTTCTGGCAAGAAAAAAAATACAAATAAATAAAATTGGGGAACATCTAGTTTGTTGTTACAGTTGCAAATGATCAGACTTAAGTAAAAGCTACAGGAAGGACTTCCTCAAACTCGAACAGAAAAGCATTACTTGGGGCAAGGAGAAGCAGTCCCCATGCTTGCAGAAATATAAGGTCACAAGGGGACAATGAAACAGGCTTTTGAGAGAAGGGTAGGTTTCATTTAAGTCCCTATAGGGTCCTGTTAGCATCAGGTCAAAAGAGGCAGTGAAGTGGAGAGGGCAGTCTGAAATTGGAGAGGGCTAACACACATGTTGGTCATTTATTAATATTACCAACTAGTTCTTAGGATAAGAAACCGGAAACAGAAAGAAAGGAGCAAGAGCTGGAGGTTGGTGAGAGTTAGGAACAAAATGAAAAGCAAATGGTGAGAGAAAATGGGACAGGAGAGACACTGTCAGGTGCATTTCCACCAGCTGCTATGGCACAGGACTGTAGCCGCAGGACTTAGGGGGCTGAGGCAGGAGGATTACAAGTTTGGGGCCAGCCTAAAATCATCACAGAAGACCTTGTCTCAAGTAAAGCTAAGCAGAAACTTACTGTTTCAGTTTCTGCGGATTTGCTGGTCTCTGTTGTGAAAGGGTTTCTGGCCACAGGAGGCCAACGAGACTATTACTCCGGTTGCTCTCTGTGTGCCTCAGGCCACTTTCTCTGGGCCCCATAGTGAAGGGAACTGTGGTCTAGAGAACGGAGGGGTCATTCTGAGGCCCTGTAACGAGAGGGAGACTGATCTGGACTAAGACACTGCCCTCAGGACTCCCAGATGCAGGGTCTTGTCTCACCATGCGTGTTTTCCCCTTTTCTTGGTCAGGAGCACTCCTTAAAAATTGTTTTTCCCTTTTCACATTTTATGCGTGTGGGTGACCTGTATGTATGTCCATGCCTCATGTGCCTGCAGTGCCTCCAAAGGCCGGAAAAGGACACCAGATCTCCTAGAACTGGAGTTAGTTGGTTGTAAGGTGCTGGGTGGGTCCTGGGAATCGACTAGAACCCCGGCCCTCTGGGAAAGCAGCCAGTGCTCATAACTACCGAGCCATCTCTCCAGCCCCCAGTCAGGGACATTCTTAATTCGATAAGAACAAAATATAGTTTTCTTTCTCACCAAAAGCCCCATCAGCTCAAATACAAAGTGTCTGGTGTTGGCCTAGCTGAGGCAGGAATATGGATGGTTATGAAAGTCATCCGTGGGGGTGGGGTGGGGTGGGGCGGGTACACACGGCCATGTGGGGGGAGGGGAAGGCCTCCAGTAGGCTTCTAGGACAGCAGCCTGGCTAGCTCAGGGACTCCCAGAAGCTCCATTGTCCTAAAGAATCTGGGGGCGCTGGCCATACCTGAGCATTCCTCTGCACATTCTTCCCCAGGGCTAGGCCCAGTCTGACTCGTGGCCTCCACTGTCTCGTCCTAGTGGGCTTGGAGTCTAACTGCCCGGGATCTGCCTCAGGTCACCTCTTCCGCAAGCATTTACTCAGAGTTAATAAACTGCCAGTTACACGGAAACCTGTTTAATTTTTCCAGGAGAGCCAGGAGAAAGCCAAATAAGGGAACGCAGAAGACATCTTCTGCAGCCAGCAGGTGGCTGAGGCAGGGTCCAAACCTAGGCCACACCACTGCAGAGGCCTGTGAGCTCAGCGATGGGTTGTGGTGAGTGTTTTGGCTTCTTCCAGCCAGGCCCCGCACACTTGGGCTTTGGTCTTGGATCTGTAGCCAGAGTGTAAGACCTTGTACATTAGTCAGGACTCACAATCCCTCAGAAACCGGACTGCAGTTGATTAAAGCAGGAGAGGAACTGAAGAGACAGGGATGGGGGCAGTGGTTGGCTGAGGGGGCCACTTTGATAGGCGCCTCAGCCATCTGTCCGGGTTTGAAATCTAACAGCTGAAAGCTGAGATTTCCCAAAGGGACGAGAAGCTGGGGGTAAAGATAAAGAAGTCAAATAGGTGACAGGCAGACAAAACAGTCGAATGTTCCCGACACCTGCGTTAGGTCACCGCTCAGATGTCCAAGGCCGTCCGTGTCTTGCTACTCTTTTCCCTAGGAGCCGTGTGTCCTGTCATTCTAGAATGGCAGGGAAAGCACCTACCTTCAGACCACTCCCTCTGTCCAGATTTTGAGCCTTGTCACCGTTATCTCATCCCTCTGTGTGGTGAAACACCCAGTTGAGGCGTTTGAGGAGAAAGTGTCTCCAGCAGTCAGAACTCTGGTCTCCATCTCTTTGAACCTCAGTTTCTTACCTGTAAAGTGGGGATAATGCCCACATCCTGCAGGGCATCATGAATGTACCATGTAGTTGTGCCCAAGATGCTCCTTAGGCTGTATTTGTGAAAACCATTGGTAAGACTAGGGCCTTGGGAGATGTGGTGTGAGGCTTAGAACTATCCGCATGAGGCCTAGGGCGGTGATGCTGATCCCCACTAGCCTTCTGGGGAGGGGGTCACCCTCAGGGAGCCACTGTCTGCTTCCTCAGTGTCAGTGCCAGCCTTCTTAAGTGAGGGACACAACAGAGGACACAGTAGAGAGGCCAAGGAGTAGCTTGTTGGGAAGTCGGCAGCACAGCCCAAGTTGGGAAAACGCAGAGGAGAAGGAAGGAACACCTTCTGGGATGATCTGAACCCTGTAGCCAGCAACAGAAAAGTTGTTTTTTTTTTTTTTTTTTTTCTGTTCCTAGCCCCAGAGGGTTGAAGGCAGGGAGTGGTGGTATTGACGGGGAAGAGGGTGTCGGCCTCCTGTGAAATATGGGAAGAGAGGGGAATGAACACTCTTCTTCTCCTGATCCTATTGTTACTGAGCTACAGGGCAAGGAGGTCTGCTGATGTGTTCTGTACAGGTTAGCTACCAGGGTTAGAGAGCCAGGTTTGGGGAGGGGCAAGTAGGTGAAGAGTTAGGGGTCTTCTGACATACTGCCAGGTGAGCCTGCTCTGTCTCTAGGCTGCGGGAGATGAGAACATGAACTTTTCATGGAGAAAAAAAGGCAAACTGCTAACTTGCTTTGCTGGTATTGCCAGCGCAGAGCTGTGGCTTTCTCAGAGTGGTGAAGGATTGTGGGTAGAAGAAGAGATGAACCCACTCGATTTCAAAGCAAGCTAAACTTTAGGAAGTAGAGTCCACTTAAAGACTCTACCGGAGGAGGTGGGGTCGTAGCTGAGGGGCTCAGTGGTTATGGCTGCTGTTCTGAGTAGTCTTTAGAAGCGCAGGCTACGGGGAAGCTCACAACCATCTGTTATGAGATCTGGTGCCCTCTTCAGGTGTTCAGGCATACATGCAGATACAACAGTGGTACATAAAATAAATAAGTAAAATCTTAAAAAAAATAAAAAAAGAAGAAGTGCAGTTACTAGAGTTTAATTTGTAGCATTAAGTTGTGCAGTTTAATTTGTAGCATTAAGTACTCAGGCTCTATATGTTATTGTGAATGGTCTGCTGGGGTAGTTAGTGGGTGCAAATTAAGTGGGTGAGAGCAACCAAAACCACCCAGAGTAGCATCTAGTGAAGTGCTTGATGCATCTTGGACGATGTTGTTATCATGACGTAGGCTTTTAACTGCTCTGACTCTGCCGGGACTTGCTCCACGCCCTTGGGCAGGCCACTCTCTCTCTTTGGCTCTAGATTCCTGTTCTCAGGTGGAGGAAAGGGATCCAAAGGTTTCTTCCACCCAAAGAATTCTAGTTTCTGCAAGCCCCAAATCCATCCCAGGTTCCACACAAGTCTCCAAAGGGGACCCATGTTTGCAGGGCCTTTCCAGCTTCTTCCAAAGAGGGTTTGGGTTTCTTCCCTGCGTTAGCTGGAGCAGTTCCCAGCCAGGGGACCTGGAAGGCTCTTCCCTGCTGATGCTCAGGCCTTGTGTTAATCTCTTTTTGATGGCCTTTATCTGCAGGTGGATTCCCTGGAAGTACTCATTGCCAGGGGGAGGAGCTAATCTTTTGCTGCTGGACGTTGGGGACCAATCACTCATTTCTGGAGGTCTCTCCCTTGGGACCTGAAGCCTGACAGTGAGGGAGGGAGGAAGGCCTGAGCTGAGTAGGGAGGAGCAGGATGGTTAGGATGTTTCTGACTGGGTAGATGGTTGAGGCCATTTAATAGTCTGAAATCCCATGCTGCCAGTGTGATCTCACATGCCTGGCACAGAGGAAATCTACCTGGGGGTCCTTTCTCATTGTGTTACAAGGGAAATCAGGGTCCCTCCAGGGGTTCTTAGTCTCATTAATAAAAGAATTTAAGAATGGACTCAGAAGAAAACTCAAAGACAATTACTTTAGGGTTTAAAAGAAAATCCCAAAGCAGGCCTGCTGTAAATCTCAGCAGCTCCCTAGAGGAGAGAGATAGAGTAAAGGAGGAGAGAAAGCCATTTGAATTAGAAACACAGGTCAGCCAAGTGGCAGACAAACAGCCGCAGAGTGGGGAAGAAGAGTGAGAAAGCCAAAAATACCAGTAAAAGCATACGTAGGCGCCAGCCAGCATCCAAAAGAGAGAAGAGAGAGAAAAAGAAAAGGTTATGCTTTTCTCTGTTGGAACTCATAGAGACAAGCAAAACCATCAGAGCCTATATTATCTCATTTAAAGGGATAATCATTCCTCCCTTTTCTTTAGTATGGCTTAAGGTGAACCCACTTCCTAAGGGGTGGTCCTGCCTTCCTGAAAGGATGGTTCCTTAGCCAGTTGCTTGATCTGCCCAATTGGAATGTCAGGTCTTCACCTAGACCAGAGATTCTGTTATTTGGCTAGGAGGTAATAGTTTAACTTAATGGGCCTCCATAGAGGCCTGACCAAGTCTCCTGTAACAATTAGGTTTCTATTTTCTACAGGAATTGAAAGTCCTTAGCACTACTTTTGGATCTTGGTTCCTCAATACCTTCAACATCTCCCATTGCCTCTGAAGCCTTTTGTTTCTATGCCGATTCTTCTCTGGGACCTTGGTTGTATCAGGCATTTTGTACCCAGGGGGCTTGGCCCATGCTCTTCCATACTTGGAACACTTCCCAAGCTGATATCAGATCATTTCTCAAATTTCACAGGAAAGAGCTTTTTCCAGACTGAGGTGATAACTAACGGCATGATGGTATCTTCTCTATGGCCTGGAAGTCACAGGCTCTTTCTGCTCAGTTTAAGGGGGCAAGATAGACACAGGTCTAGGGGATCACCCCAATTTAGGGATGGAGGAAGAGGCTGAGTACATTGTGATTGGAAGCTGATGGCTTCTACAGAGCTATACTGTAGCAGGCCATCATGGGAGAGCTCAGATAAGACCATCCACAAGTCCCCAAACGTCCTTTGCAGTGGTCGGCCCATATCCTCGGCCTCACAGAATTGCCTGTTTCTATCCTTCATCTGACGCCAGGCATCCAACAACCCAATAAAAGCTCAGGAAAGGGGAACAGACCCCACTTGAGAAAATCCCAGTGTATTTTTGGAACTCTTCACCTTTTCACGACTGATCTTCCTCTCCACTGGAGCTTAAAAAGAGCTACTGGGATCCTGGGGGTGCGACTCTGGGAAGCCCCTCCACCCCCCAGCATGTCCTTTTACCTCTCTGATGGTGACCAGGACACAGAAACACTGAGCAGAGGTCTCCATCTGGCCCCTCCATCTCTGAGACCTCCCCATCCTTCGTCACTTTTAACACTAATTTCAGTGAATTCTGTGCCTGCGCCAGGGCCTGAGCTTGCTCAGCGTTGGCCACTTGCCCTATTCCCAATTTTGTGCCTGAAACAGTTTACACTTCATTCACGATCCTGCCAGTGGAGCTTCGACCACACCCCCCACCCAACTGTCAAAAGGCCAAGTTAAAGTTCAGTTTAACAATGTTACACGGCTTTATTTTCAAGTCTGTATGACAGGGTATGTGTTGTAGTGGGACATGTGGAAGAGCTTGAAGACCGATGAAAGTGGTGACAGAAAGCCAGGATTGGTCATTTTGGAGCTACTTGCATCATAAGGCAGTGACAAGAAGACAAACAATAGGAAAACAATGGATGAGTTGACACCCAGCTTCTTGCTTAAAGTTCTTTCTCTGAAGGAGATGTGAACAATGTCTCTCCCTCTTTCTGAGGTCCCAGTGACAAACCAGACTATGGCTCCCCTGGTTGGCCTGTAGGCAAGTTTGTGGGGTACTGTCTCGATTAATGACTGGTGTGGAAGGGTCCAGGCCACGGTGGATGGTACGTTCCTTGGGTAGGTGGTCCTGGGGTGTCTAAGAAGGCAAACCGAGCAAATTAGGAGGAATAGGCCAGGAAATAGTTCCTGCCTGCAGCTTCCTGCCCTGACTTCCCTTCATGGCGGACTACAACTGTAAACTGAAATAAACCCTTTCCTTGCCAGGTTGCCTTTGGTCATGATATTTTATCAGAGCAATGCAGACCCTAAGACATCCTCCTTCTCTTTGGGAACGTCAAGAGTCAGCAAGCCCGT